ATAAAACTTGCAGTTTATTTGATTAGATACCAAGGATCTTTATTACTGGATTGCACAGGCAGATTATGTTTGGTTTCTTATGAAGCTGTTAACAACGTGGTTGTAACAGTGCGTTTCCACTGGCAACGGTGAGCATTGCTGTTGCTGTGCATTTTGGCATATTTGTACTGTAGGTTGTCTGTGTGTTAGCCCTTCTGATAAGGATGTTGTGATTATCTTGTTTTAATTTGCCTTTTCTAATGATATATGAAATGGAATATCTTACAGATTCAGATAAGCATTGTCTTAAGTAAGATTATCTGAATCTGTATTCCCTTTGGTGAGGTTTCTACTCAGATCTTGTATCTGGTTTTTGAGCTTTATGAGTTCTTTATATTTAGGCAATATTTCTTAATCCTGTATTGCCTTTTGCAGATATTATTTTGTTCTATCACTTTTCATTTCATTCTATTTTTTATACGTTCATTCTCTTTTGACAGTATCTTTCACACAGTGGAAAAAATTAATTTTAATAAATTGTAGTTCATCAGTTCTTTCTTCCGTGGGTTGTGCCTAGTGATTTTCATTGTACTCAAGACCTTCCAAATTTCGTCCTGTGTTATTTTTACCTTCCTCCTTTCTTTGTATTTGAGACAGGCTCACTCTATGTAGTCCAGGCTGGCTTTGAACTCGGTATGTAGCCCAGAATGGCTTGAAGTCACAGGGATACTCTCCTTCCTCAGCCTGTTGAGTTCGGGTACTGCAGGTGTGGCTACCATGCCCAGTTAGTTTCATTTTTTCAATGTGAATGCCCAGTTGTTACACTACAGCTATTAAAAATATTTTTTTTCTCCCTCGTGTTGCCTTTTTTTGTTCAAAGTTCAGTTGATTATATTTTTTTGTGGGTGTGTTTCCAGGCATCGATCTATTTGTGTGTTGTTTGCAACTGTCCTACTGTCCGCTGTAGCTTTATAGAATCTTGAAGTCCATAGTGTTAGTTCTCCAATTTCTTTGATATTATGTTGACATTTCTGAATCTTTTGCCTCCCTCCGTCTTTATGTGTTATGGAATGATATTCATCGCTTCATTGGATCTGGAGGGCCCAGATCATTGGCTAAACATTGCTAAGTGCCTCTGTGAGGAAGTTTTGGGTGAGATTAACATTTGAATTGGTAGGATGAGTAAAGCAGTTGGCCCTCCCCAAGTTGAGCTTTCAGTGGCCATTCCTGTGAAGGAAGGACCCCACCCCCATCACGGTCTTTGCATCTCTCTCTGCCTGTTACTGAGATATCCTGAGTTTTCTTTTGTCCTTAGGTTGGGACTTAATGCTATTGCATTCCTAGTTCTTAGGCCCTCCGACTTGAGCTGCAACATAAATAATTGGCTTTCAAGCTTTTGACTTGAACTAGGACTATCCTACCAGCTATTCGTGGTTCTCCATTTTATAGTAGAGAACAGCTTTTGGGATGTCTCCGGCTCCATAATTGGAAGAGGTTATTCCTTACAGTAAATCTTTTCTACTACCTATATGTATTTGGTGTCTGTCTCCCTGGATATTTAGGTATGTCAATCTGTATTTATCAAGAGAGCTGTGTCAGTATCTGTCATGTTTCTCTGAAGAATCCTGACACACACACACACACACTATATAAATTATAGAATTTTTGTCTATCCACAAAATAATTTGCTGGGATTTTGATTGTTATTGTGATGATCTAGGAACTAAATTGAGAAGAGCTTGATATTGAAGAATATAGTCTAGTTACCTATGAAAGTGGAATGACTTCCCTTTAGTTCTTCTTTGTCCTAGCCATCTCTGTGTATATCAATACATGGAAATAGGGTCAGGCTCAACCAAAATGGAGGCATTTGCTCTTTCAAGGAGAGTCACCCAGGTGGTCCTCCACAGTTACTTGCCAGGTTGGACCACGTAAAATTTTAACATATGTGCTTCAAGAACTGTTGAAGATCAGCAGCTTCATCTACTTTTAACTAATGGAAAGATAAGCAAGCTTTTTACTCCTGTGTTTCATGCTTTATATTGCTATATGACAGAGGCATGATTTTAGTATTAATTGCAAGTTGATAAAAACTACATTTGATTAACTTTAGAGAGTATAATTAATATACAATGAAATGCAGCCATTTAGTATCCAGTTCCATGGATTATATAGCGTTTCTGTTTCTCCAGAAAGTGCTCTTTCCAGTCAAGCATAGCACCTCATCCCAGGAATCTGCTGCTGACCTGCGTTCTCAACTGAGATTACATTTGTGAAGCCACGTTTTTAGATTGACCTATGATCTAAAGCTCACCTCACCAGTGTTACTTGCAGCCATCCCTTGTTACCTTTGCTGTGCTCGCGGCCTCTCTGTGTGTGAGTCCCTTCAGCCTTTTCTCTTCTGCCTGGCAGCTTGATGTCACACACCGAGAACCAAGGCACACTTCTGCAGGCCCCATTCTGATTTCTGCTTCCGTGCCTTTGTGTGTGGAGCCTGTCTGCCTGGAAGGCGTTTCCTTCCTTGCCTAACATTCGTCCTTGTCTGCGTCATTCCTGCTCATTTTTCTAAAATCAACTTACTGATTTTAGATTGGGTTAGATATTTCATGTGTAAATAAATATAATACATATGTATGTATTTTTCCCCAGTAGAGTCAGTCTCTCTCTCTCTCTCTCTCTCTCTCTCTAATGTATTTGGTGCAAGGTCTACAGGACATCAATATGTAGTTTGCGCTTGTAGTGATTCTCCTGTTTTCAGCCTCACGAGTGCTGGGATTACAGGTGTGCAGCACCACGCCCAGTCTCAATCACAGCCTCAGCGGGCCCTGGGGGTGGGACTGGCACGGCATCCTGGGGATCGAACCCCGGCCACTGCGCTCTGCCTAAAGCAGGCACTTTAGTCCACTGAGCTATCTGGCCGGCCCACTGTTTTCTTTATTTATATAACTACCTGTGCCCTTCACAAGCCACAGCTCCTTGAGGGTTGCTCTGCCATCATGTGTTCTTCCACACAGGAATAGGGGTCTCATAAATATTTGATTAATGGCAAATGCATTTTACCTGATGTCTATAATAAAACTAAAAGGAAGTTTATATAATAGGAACTAAAAAAATGAAATTGAACTAACAACACCTGTATGTGTGAGATAAACATTGGTTCCTCAAACCACCTGCTTTCTGTAACCAGTTAAATGACGCCAGTTCTTACTTTGTTTGCCCTGTGGTTCTGAAACTTAATGAAGCAATGTCTGGAGACACATAATCTAGTTTTGTTATAAGTCTATGCCAGTCATCAAGTTCTGATTCTAGATAGCGTCTTGATATGAACTTAACCATATGGGCTTAAAATGATGTATCTTCAAAATCTCATTTTAATTGTGTAAGCCAACAGCTTGGTCTTTCTCAGCATGGTATATAATGTCATCTGAACTAATTTTTAGTCCCCTTTCTTAGAATAAAAAGGTAGAAATAGGAATGATCATCTAATAGCCATCTAGTAATTTCAGAGTTATAAAAACCACTGTTATTTTAAATTTCTATTCTATTTAAACTTACACCTTTATAGCACTGTACTGGGGAGGGATATTTGTTTTCATCAAAAGGGTCCTGGGGTCATAATTCCCTTCTTAAAGCAGACCATACAAACTGGAATTTTTCTTTGCTAGGCAGGTCATAGAAACTACTCTTACTCTTCCTCTCTATCTTAGAGTTGGCCAAAAAGTACTTCTCTGACCTACTCTTGTCTAGTCCAAAAGGATCATGCCCCATGATGTGGAGGGAATGGTGCTGCATACCAGAGGCCAAGAACAGCACAGGGCTTGCTGGTTTTCCATACCCACATTTGCAGTGGACCGTGCCTTTTTTCTCTAGTCACATTTCTACACAGTTGTCTGTGCTTCAGCTGTCTATACACAGGAAGTCCCAAAACAGCTCAAAAGGAGGGGCCAGAGTGCTTGCAGAGCAAGGAGAGAACCTGCAGGGTGGCATGCTTAGAGAGGACATGGAAGCTCCTTCCTGCATACCGCACCCTGTGCTCCTGTGTCCTTTGTGAAAGTCTTCATAATAGAACAGTGAATGTAAATGTTTCTCTGAGTTTTATGAACCATTTGAGCAAATTGTAGGAAACCCAGATCCTAGCCAGGTAATGCAAAACACAAGTGAAAGAACTGGGGGCTTGATTGTGTCTTTGGGGGTGGGAGCACTGAGTCTTTGTCTTGTAAGGTCTGCTTCCATGTTTGTGGCTGAGCTTTCAGCCTGTAGCGTCTGACACTCTCCATGGTAAGTAGCAGCAGAACAGAATTATTAGAGGAAACTCAGCTGCTGTCTTCTCTGGAATAGTTTTCTTGCTGGTAGGGAGAAATCCCCACATTATTGAGGTCACAGAAGTCTTTTAAGTTGGTTGTTATGGTAGGAGAGAAGAGGATAAAGGTTTTTTTCTAACACAGTATGATACTATTTTTCACCTGAACTAATTTTTGTAATGCCTTCTCTTAAAGCAGATAAAAGAAAAAAATGACCTTTAAAGTTCCCTGAATAGCTGCTAGCTAACCTTTACTAGAGACTATGTTTAGTTAAATTTAAGTAAAATATGTATAGGTACAGCAGTATTTCTGAAAAAAACATTTTTATTTATTAAGCATAATCAGTGACCTCTCTATGTAATTTTAATAATTTTAAGTATTTGTAAACTTCTCAGACTTAACTCTGATACTTTAAAAATGAGATTCTTGGGCTGCTGAGATGGCTCAGTGGTCTAAAGCGCCTACTTAGAACAAGCTTAGCGCAAAGCACAGCGACTGCGGTTCAATCCCCTAGCACCACATGCCAGCCAGCCCCGCCCCCTGGTGGGCTGAGCTGCCCCCCCACCCCACATAAATAATAAAAAAAAAGAATAACTTCTTTAAAAAAAAATGAGATTCTTTGACTTGGAAGTTTCCTATTTTTGGTTAATAAAGGCTAGTATTTTTTTATTTTATACTCATATCCAGTATTTTAAAATACAACTTTATTTTGACTTTCAGTGTATGCAGAGAATATTTCCAGAATGGTGGAAAGAGAAAAGCACTTGAAAAAGATGAAAAAAGAGCTGTACTCACCAGTAAGACCACGCCAGCCTTAAACATGCATGAGTCTTCTAGACTTGAAGGTCATTTAACCAACCTCAATTTCACAAACCCTGAATTTATAACTGAGTAAGTATACTTTTTCTGCTTCAATTAACATTATCCTAGGTAACTATATTAATGTGAAATTACATAGTGGCTTCTGCCAAATAGTGGATAGTTTATTTTCTCCTCTGGTGGGAATGTATTAGGCTGAGAAACACAAATTAATACTTTTAGATAGAAAACTAAGATAAAAATTTTTAAATGTGTGAAAAATTAGTGCTTCTGTATATAGCATGTGTTGTCCTCACTAAAAATGAGAACATATAGTTTGTTATAGTAATAATGCTTATAAAGAATCAAAATAGGGGCTGGGCAGATGGCTCAGAATAAGAGCTTGCCTGGCAAGTGCAAGGGCCTAAGTTCTATTCCTAGTTCTGCCAAAAAAAAAAAAAAAGAATCAAAATAAAATGCAGGTAAGTTTTTTAAAATAGTTACCACTGAAAATTACAAATAAAGAAAAGATAATAGTGGGGCTGGGGAGATAGCTCAGTGGTCTAAGCACTTGCCTGTTAAGCACAAGGACCCGATTTCGATCCCCGGTACTGCATGCCGTGCTGCTGGTCCTGCACTGTGCCTGCCACTGAAACTGGGCATAGTGGTGCACGCCTGTAATCCCAGTGGTGGGGAGGCTGAGACAGTAGGATCTCTATGAGTCAGAACTGTACCAAATAAATGAATCTTTAAAAAAAAAATAGTAGCAATCATTATTGTTGATCTGAAAATCTGATTGCCAACTTATTTAATAGGCACAAATTCTGTAAGTACATACATATTATAATCCAGTTAATTATTGGTAGTATTAAAATTATTTTTACATTTTAGTGCCTGAGAATTTTTGCTGTCAAATAATATTTAATCAGTTGCCTAAAAAGTGAAAAACACAGTTCTAGAAAAGTCCTTGAGAGATGCTAAATACTAACCATGAAATGGAATTAAACTCTCAAATAGTTTTATAACTTTAGGTATCGATGTGTTATTTCCTTGTTACTTGGTTTTTATACCATGTTGGTATTATCTAGTTATAAGCTATTCCTTTTAAAAATCAGTTAGCAGGGGCCTGTAATCCCAGCAGTTGGGCTGAGGCTGGAGTATTGCTGTGAGTTTGAGGCCAGCCTGGGCAAATAAGCAAGTTCAAGACCAGTCTGTACTACATAGCAAGACTCTGTCTCCAGAAATGCAAACTGAATCATGTATCTTTGATTAGTTCAGTAGGAAATGATAAGACGTCTGTATCTTTATTGAGAGGCTACTACAGAGTGGTTTTATGATAAAACATAACTGTGGGCTGGCAAGATAACTCAGCTGACGAAAGTGCCTTCTTAGGCAGGCCCAGGGACTGGGGTTTGATCCCTGGCCATGCGGACACAATAATTAAGACTGGGTGTCGTGGCATGCGCCAATTAATCCCAGCGCTTGGGAGGCTGAAAACAGGAGGATCACTATGAGTCTGCACTTTGTAGTGAGACCCTATAGACCCTGTACTAAATACATTAAAAGAAAGGGCTGGTGAGATGGCTCAGTGGTCTAAAGCACCTACTTAGAACAAGCTTAGCAAAGCACAGGGACCGCGGTTCAATCCCCCAGCACCACATGCCAGCCAGCCCCGCCCCCTGGTGGGCTGAGCTGGAGACACACACATACACACACACAAACATACATAAATAAAATAAATAAATTTTTAAAAAATAAAAATAATAAATTAAATTATTATTAAAAAAACCAACTTTAATATTCATAGCTCAGGTGTTATAGACATTTTTATATAGTTTTGGCCAATATAAGTAGCTATATTTCTGTCAAAAATGAGTTACTATGGAAAGTACAGTTGTAGAAATTCATAAGGTTCTTTTTTTATGGTCTCTTCATTATTGAAATCACTTTATTTATGCAGTTCTTATCGTATTTTCCTTTCATTCTTTAAACATGATTTTTAAATTTATTTTTTGAGGTAGAATTTTACTATGTTCCCAGGCTGGCCTTGAACTTCCTGGGCTCAAATAGTCATCCAGTTTAGCTCTGCAAGTAGCTGTATGCAAATACTGTGGTTCTCTGTGTGACATCATAATCTCTGCTTTGAAGTTTTCATCTGTTAAATCCAGCCTTTAGGCTTATTAAGAGTACCCTTCTATTTACTGCCTTTGTTTCCTCAGCATCAGTTATGCTTTTCTGTCTTTCTTTACATGTCTTCTGATTTATTGTTGAAAACTAGACAATGTTGATAATACGGCATAGAAGCACTCATTTTGGATTCTCTCCTGAGGGTGGAATCTGTTTTGTTTGTATGTGTATATGCTGGTATTGTTGGTTTCCTAGGTTTAGATTTTTTTTTTCTTTTTTCTTTGATTTTTTTGACCAGTTTTGTGTCAAAACAGTAGGTCATAGGTTGCACCAGTGTGGTAAGATGGTACACCCGAGACAGGCCTCAGGATCACAAATTTGAGACCAGCCAGAGAAACTAAGAAGATGCAGGGTTTTTTTGTTTGTTTGTTTGTTTTTGTTTGTTTTGCAGAACCGGGGATTGAACTCAGGCCCTTGCGCTTGCCAGGGAAGCGCTTATTCCCCTGAGCCAGCTCCCTAGTCCCTTGTTTTTGTTTTTAAAGGCATGTGCAGATAGCTGAGGGGTAGAGCACCCCTAAGTGCTCTTACTTACTTCTAGTCCATAAGATTAACGTGCTCTTTGTGCCCGTGTGTGTGCTGATTGGGGGACAAGCTTGAGTTCTCAAGTCAGCCCCACTCTTGCTGTCAGCCAGGTGCCGCCGGATCTCCCCTGCATTGCTGGTCGCCTCTGTACTGGCCCTGGCTGTACATATTCCAAGATCTTTTTAGTTTTCGGCATTTAGTCTGCATCTCAGCCAACTAAGAGTACCATAGCAACTTGAGATTGTCATAGGTGTTGACACTCCCTGCTTGGCTACCAAGTTTCTTACTGTTACTCCCATCCCAGCCCAGTGGTAAAGTTGTTTTCCCCTGCCACCCCCAGCCAAGAAGACTCTGCAGCTCTCCAAGCGGGGAAACCTCAGGCCACCACTGTTCTTGACATGTATTCACCTAATTTTCATGGGGTATCGTTTCTCCTGTTCTTTACCTTTAAATTCTGGAGTGGTTGTTTTTGATGATTTTGCCTGTTTTTTTTTTTTTTTTGTTTTTTTTTTTTTGGTTTTGTTTTGTTGTTTTTGTTCGTTTTTATGTATTTGGTACAGGGTCTCACTACAGTTCAGACTTGTAGTGATCCTCCTGTCTTCAGCCTCCCCAGCACTAGGATTACAGGTGTGTGGGGCCAACGTGGCCTGCGGTGCCCGAGATCAAACCCCGGTCCCTGCGCCTGCCTAAGCAGGCTCTCAGTCTGCTGAGCTATCTTGCCAGCCCCTGTCTGTTTTTTGAGGGGAAAGTTTATAAACCTTTTATTCTAACATAGTCAGAAATACTGTTCTCTGATTTAGTCTTAAAGAAGAAAACTTAATTTGGTTTTATGTCCAAATAGAATTGTTATAAGCCAGAATTTATCTAGTATTAAATTTAGGCATTAAAATGACTTAGCCTAACATGACTAGATTTAAGTTTTTGCATTCTAAAAACAGTGTGTGTATAGATCTATTCCTGTAGTTCTGCTCACTGTTTTGTATTTTAGTCATAGGGAAGCATTTTACCTTCTCATCGTGTGACGCATGTTGGAGTTCACTTTCTGGCGGTTGTAAATGCACTATATCCTCTTTCTGATAAACTCTTGGCTGTATTAACTGCATTTGAAGCATTGTTTCTGAACTTCACAAAGGAGGTGATACTTTTTGCTTGCAGTGTTGAACTTTTTTTTACCTAAGCATTTATATTGTATTAAAATTACGTTAATACAATAAAATAGTATTTATGTTGTAATAGTATTTATATTGTATTAAAATTCACTAGGGTATGTTTTATGCACTACAAATGAAATAAAGGTTTGAAGTATTTGCATATGGAAAGAATATCTTTTAGGGTTTTTTTTTGTGCAGGATCTCACTAGGCAGCTGACTCGTAGTAATTCTCCTCCCCAGTGCTAGGATTACTGGTGTATGCCACTGCTCTTGGATGCCATTGCTGGCTCAGCGCGCCTGGGGGTGGGCCTGGCACGGCACACGGTGCCAGGGATTGAACCCTCCTTGCCACTGCGCTCACCTAAGCCAGCACTTAGTGTGCTGAGCTCTCTTGCCAGCATTATTAATAGTGCAGTGCTCTTAACTCAAAAGCAAATGAAGGGGCCAGGGAGATGGCTCAGTAGCATAAGCGCTTGACTGGCAAACACCAGGATCTGAGTTCAGTTCCTGGTTCCACCAAAAAAAAAAAAAAAGAAAATGAAGGACCAACCATAGATACTAGAAGACAAGTTAGTTAAGAAATGCTTTGTTTGCCATAAGTTTTCATTTTGTTTTTAAATAGTAGCAGTATTTGGTAGATAAACTGGTTAGTTGCTTTTCAGTTTCTTTATATCCAGTTCTTTTCTACCAACTATAGGAAAAGATCTTGAGCTGTTTAGAACAGTTATTCCATGTTTTGCAAGGAGAGTTACTTCTAAAGTTTTAATATATAAAAATTTCAAAAATTTTAATATATGAAAACCATAAGGTTGAATACTCCTTATCTGAAATGCTGAGGCTCAGAAATGTTTGTGATTTCAGAGTTTTGTCTGACAACTTGGGATATTTGCTTATGTGTGATGACGTGTCTTAGGGACATAACCCAGATCGAATTACAGAATCCTTTTATGACTCAGTTCTTCACATACTCACATACTCCATGGACCATACCAGGAAGTAGTTTTTATAATATTTTAAATAACTGCATCTGACTGTGACCTGTCACTTGAGGAACGGTGTGAAATTTTCTGCTTTCTGTGAGAACTCACAAATTTCACAAGAGGTTCCTTTGCATACATAAATGAATTCCTGAAAAATCTTTTTATAAGAGACATAGAACAATATGAAAACTGCACAGCTGTAAGAGAGTTTTAAATACCATTCTTGTAACAGAAAAAATCCTTAATTATACAT